ATAATATATATATATATATATATAGGTTCAAGTATTCTAACTAAGTATTGTGTGGATGTAGGAATAAATATAGGCCAATCATTCTAAAAGGGTAATTATGTAATGTCACATTTAATTAATATTTTTAAATTAATTTATTTGATATTTGTCCCAAATAAAATCCCTTTATATTAGGTAGCTATTTATAACACTACAAGAAAAAACGCGATTTTGGTAGGGAAGATTACTATGGAACGTATTTTCGTTGTTAATATGCAATGGATCGTGCTATGGAATGTCGTTCCATAGCAATGTTGCTACCACATTGTCTACGGGTTTTATTTCTGGTAGCGAGAGTGGACGTTGATAGGGAAAATGCTACCGACTCCATATATGTTGGTATTATGCTACCAATAGTTCTATGGAACAAAATTTCGTAGCAATTTTCCAACGACATTTGTTACCAAATCACTTTCCATTGTACTGCTGCTATGGAATTCATCATCGTGGTTACTATGCAACAGAGTTTGTGACAGAAACCAATTCAATGGAATTTGTAAGATATGGTTTGAATGAAATGTTTTTGAATTGATAATATGTGGCATAAACTAATGGATAAAAAATGTAAAAATGAATTATAAAGTTGATATTGCTGGCAAGCGTACTTGAACTTAAGCTTATGCTAGAAAAGGGTGCGGTTAAGCCAGTTATGCTAATCAAGTTGTGTATAATTTCTTAAAAACGTAGTATATAATGAAAAATTAATAACGAATTCATTACAAAGTTATTTTTAATTACATTAATCGGGCATGTTCAAGTATATATAATCTATGTAGATTATTTTCCTTAATAACTAATTCATTAAAAACTTATTTTTAATTACATTAACTATACTTAATCACAAACATAACACGGTTTTTTGCGTATACTTCATCCTACTCTAATAACATAGCAAGAAAAAATGACTAAAATGCCCTTTTAACATAACGATGTAAACACAAAACCAAAATAAAATTATAATAGTACTATATAACTTCATATATAATACAATAAGAATACTAATATTCAATGTCCATTCTATTATCAACCATTAATATTTTTAAGAAATATACAAAACCTACCATACTCTACATACCAACCACAAACCATGCAATATCTTTGTCGATCCTCATCCTCTTCATGGCCTATTGCCAATGCACCCTCAACAGAATGATGTGGGTCTTCACATTGGAACGTGATGTTATTCGTTGTAAGTCTATGAACAACATCAACAGCCTGCAACAACTCTTTGGCACTATCAACAACACCCGTGTACTCCCCATCATCCGAAACTGCCCAGCCAAAATAGGCATCAAGTAATTGTAAACATTCACATTAAAATATCCATCAATTAATCTAATGTACCCTTTTCAATAAAATAGTAAATATTATACAACACAACACAACTAAATACTAACCCCAAACTACAAACATGCCTTAATTAACTATATATATATATATATATATATATATATATATATATATATATATATATATATATACTAATCAAGTAACAACATCAAATAATTACTTATCAAGTAAATTACTATATATTCGTATATTAAACCAAAAGAATCTACTTAATTGTCATAATATGAAAGTAGATATCAACAAACTACTCATAAATTATACCAAACTCCCTAGAAAACCAAACTAAACAAGAATTCCATAAACAAATTTCACACATAAACACCCATTTGTATCCATTCACAAAAGCGTCTGACCCACTAACTGCAGACTTATGCAATGCAAAAGATCTATGGAAGCCATGGAAGTGTATATGTTTCCTCCCCTCCCTGTTTAAGTGGAGATGAACCTTAGAACAAGTTGCTCTAAGATTCGACTTACCATTTGCTCTGCAGTAAGCATTGTTCAACATGTCTAAAGTTTCCTGCTTCCTATGTCTCCCTTAAGCCATCAGCATCATTCCTAGGATAAATGTTGAATCCAAATGTCCCAATGCAGATGCTTCTTCAAGCATCGTTTTCCTTTCATGTTCAACTTCTAAGAAAAATAACTTCATCTGGTAAAAACATTAAACACATAATTTCTAGTTAAAGTTATGCAAAACAAGTAATAGATTGATTACTATTATGCATATATATATATATATATATATATATATATATATATATATATATATATATATATATGTATATATAGTTAGGTTCATATATAAACCTTAATTATTGTGTGAATGTGTGAACCAATGAGAATTTAGAAAAACAATAAATGATTAATTAAATAAGTAAAAGGTAATTTTGGAAGTTTAAATATGATTATTTACTAACCAAAAAATGAAGTCGTATATTTTCCTTAAATCATGGTTTCGGTTACAAGCATGCAAGAATACTAATTACTTTTTTGTTATTTATTAACTATTGTTTTTTATTGTATAGACCATGTTAATATTATTCTTAAAGAAGATTAGTTGTGGTCACTGTTAATGGATATTGATCCAAAAATTTTGAAACATAAAGAATTTTAGGCCTTGTATTCTTCAAGAATTATTGAATTCTCAAACAATTCCTCAATTATAACAAAGTAATCATGTTAAAGACTTTTTTATTCAAACTATTATTTTCGATAATATATGTTGTACTATACCATATTCTTAAAGAATACACAAACAATAATAAACAATATTGAAATACAATAATGAAGGTAGCACTCATTCTAAAAGAATATACTCCAATTGATGGTATTAAAAAATTTAATCATGCTAAATGATGAAATTATACTTAAAGAATTTAAATATGCAGAATATATTATATCGTATTTTTAAACGTACGGATAATATTAAACTTCTCTTTTTACAAAAATTAAATGTGGTTGCAATCGGCTACAAAAATTCATTCAGTACATTCTTTATTGAGAATTAATTAAAATATAAATTATGTCTTTATAATAATTATTTTTAATTTCTTATTAAAAAGAAATGTTTATGTGTGTTGTGTTCCATTGTAATAATTGTATACCATACAATCTTAGCCATATACACATCTAAATCTAATGGACCAAAACTTGTCATACACTCACACAATATATATCATTCACATTTAATCCTAACCCTATATATATATATATATATATATATATATATATATATATATATATATATATATATATATATATATATATATATATATATATATAACAACGTACCTATCCATTCCTGAATAGAATATTTGGGTTTCTCATCTCTATGCATTTATTGATTACTGCATGTTTCTGGTCAGACCAAACACGAAATCGTAATCCATCTAACTCCATATGTTTGTATACTTCATCCGTTTTTTCTGCCTCGTTGAACAATCTGCAACTGCAAACGAAACACAATATTCGCTCCATAATGTAAAGACAACTCAAATACACTTGTGAAATAGAATGATCAAAGGCAAAACATACACACTCTTCATCCTGAAAGCCTCGACTGCTAAAATTTTTGCCAAGTCGACTATTATTTTCTCCACCACTTTAAATGGCATGTTTGTTAGTGATTTCGTTGGATTTCTTGATTGATTATTAGAAGAAGTATTAGCTTCCATAATAATAAACATTCACTAAGATAACGATTCTTTGAAAATGATTTTAGGGTTTTTTTATTGTGGGAATTTTGAAATTGGGGTTGTTTGCAAGTGACTGAAATAAGAATCAAGAACTGAAAAAACATGTTTTGTCGGAAAACATTATGGCATCTAGAAGATGTTCCATTATAAAATGACCAAATTGTCCTAGTACATACAATGACTCGTATTTAATTACTAAGGGCAATTTTGTAAAATGTCATATTTAAAAGAAAAATCAATTTCTATTTTAATCATGGTTGTAAAAATCGCTCATCCGTCGCTCGGCGGTTGACTGGCGATAAGCGATTAATCAGACTCAGCAGGGATTAATCGGGGATCCTAAATTATTAATAAAATTAGTAAAAAAAAATTAATATTTCATACAAAATTAATTATTTGAAAATTTTAAATTTTAATAGACAACCGGCACAAATGATATATGTTAACCAATAACCCATATGTCATCCATATGTCAACCACGGACACCATAAGCAACTATCATGTTGACCAATGACCTATATTTCATCCATGGTACACCATAAGCAACTACCATGTTGACCAATGGCCCATATGTCATCCATGGACACCATAAGCAACTACCATCTTGACCAATGACTCGTATTTCATCCATGGTACACCATAAGCAACTACCATGTTGACCAATGGCCCATATGTCATCTATAGACACCATAAGCAACTACCATGTTAACCAATGACATGTATTTCATACATGGATACCATAATCAACTACCATGTTGACCAATGACCTGTATTTCATCCATGGGTGATACCATCACACCATAAGCAACTACCATGTTGACCAATGACCCATATTTCATCCATGGTACACCATAAGCAACTACCATGTTAACCAATCACCCGTATTTCATCTATGGTACACCATAAGCAACTACTATGTTGAGCAATGGCCCATATGGCATCCATGGACACAATAAGCAACTACCATCTTGACCAATGACCCGTATTTCATCCATGGTACACCATAAGCAATTACCATGTTGACCAATGGCCCATATGTCATCCATGGACAACATAAGCAACTACTATGTTGACCAATGACCCGTATTTCATCCATGGTACACCATAAGTAACTACCGTGTTGACTAATGACCTATATTTCATCCATGGGTGATACCATCACACCATAAGCAACTACCATGATGACCAATGACCCATATGTCCCCCATGAACACAATAATCGACTACCATGTTGACCAATGACCTGTATCTCATCCATGGACACCAGAACCAACTACCATATTGACCAATGGCCCATATGTCATCCATGGACACCATAAGAAACTACCATGTTGACCAATGACCCAAATTTCATCCATGGGTGATACCATCACACCATAAGCAACTACCATTTTGACCAATCACCCATATGTCCTCTATGGACACCATAATCGACTACCATGTTAAATAATGACCAGTATTTCATCCATGGACACCACAAAAAACTACTATGTTGACCAATAGCCCATATGTCATCCATATGTCATCCATGGACACCATAATCAACTACCATGTTGACCAATGACTCGTATTTCATCCATGGACACCACAAACCATTACCATGTGGTCCAATGGCCCATATGTCATCCATATGTCAACCATGGACACCATAAGCCATTACCATGTGGACCAATCAACAATATGTCATCCATGGACACAATAATCCACTACCATATCAACCAATGGCTCATATGTCATCCATAGACACCATAAGTCACTATCATATATATTGACATGACCCGTATGTCTTTCGTATATAAATTGTAGTTTAAACATAAAAGCATAAAGATGTATAGTTTATTAATGTTTAGCCCTCGTATATAATTTTAAGTTAAAATTATACTATGAACACATTGTTACTCTATGTTCTTTCTTGATGTTATTTATATGTATACACCCTATTTATCAATCTGTAACTACTTTAAGTAAATTTGAATTACTAAATATTTAGAGGTAATTAGCACAGTTCGAATTTTTTATTAACGGAGGTTAAAAGTATTTCACAATTTGTTTCCCTCCAACCTACGCACACTTATGTTGCATATTAGGGTAATTAAGTTTACCGATTAGAAATAGGGTTCACATTTTCTATAATCATCCTCTTTGGCGGCTTATTGATCGAAATCTTTGTCCATTATACGTTTGTGCACTGACTTTGGTGATATAGGTTGTCACTCGTCTAAAATTTATATTTATTTTATTTACTGGTGTCGTGATGATCGATCGTTTTTTGTTCTCTGATCATCTTCATGTAAATTGGTTTTGATTGTATTCAATAGTTTGAATGCAAAGTAATGCCTTCATATATAATTTATTTTTATTGTTTGTGTCAGAAAGATGTCAACCTCGTGTAGAATATATTTGTGTTGCATCTTGGGCTAAGAGTTTTGTAATCCAGATTGGGCCTGTCTATCCGTGTCTATCTAGAATAGTTACGTACTTATCTAGATTGATTGCTAGGGTTATAGTACGTATATATATATATATATACATACATATATATATATATATATATATATATATATATATATATATATGCATGCATGTATGCATATATTAACAGGTTTTCATTACGTTGATTTTTGTAACCCTAAATGCCTCTACAGATTGAAGTTCTTTATCGAGCTCTTCTGAGGTGTTATTTGCATTAATCATTCGACACATTCAGCGCAATACTTGTGTTCTTATTACATTCTTCTTTTTTATCTTGCTTAGAATCATACGATCCTAATAGAACTTTGTTCTAACAATTGGTATCAGAGCAGGAGACTGTGTGATCAATACACATTCCTTCTGTATACGTAATTCTTTAGGGTTTCCGCTTTTATCATATAAATAGAAGTCGTCGTCTTCATATCGACGATAACTCTATTTTTGATAAAACCCTAATCTCAAGTTTACAGGTTTGATTCTGAGCAACTCACCATGTCTCAAGAAGATTCACATACAAACCAAATTAACATCTCAAACAGCATCAGATCAACAACAAGAGTACCCATACTCTATACTCAAGACTACGAAGTATGGGCTCATCACTTTGAAGATTACGTGGTTGGATCAGAAGACAATGGCTATCTAATCTTTGAAGCTATCACTCTTGGACCGTTTCTAAATTCGGATACAAACACAATCATTAAGACGCAAAAAGATTACAACAAGTTGGTGACAGATGTTCAAAAGATGCCACAGGATGAGAAGGACAAGATCTTGTGTAACGTAAAAGCCATGCGGATGATAAGATTCACCCTGCAATCTGACACCTTTCGGCTTG